AAAATATACAACTTTCCACCATTTTCACGGTCTGAAAAATGAAAAAAAAAAATGAAAATGGAGCTTCAGATTTTAAAAAATGGAGGAAGGGGTTATTTTGTACTGTTGGGCGTTGGGAAAGGGGTTTTCACGCTCCTGTGCATCGTGTTCCTCACGCGGGCTGTTGATTAGGACCAACTGATGCCACTTGAGCATGGTCAACGGTCAAATGTGTTTATTAGTTATGGAAAAAACGAGTTCGGGTGTTCAAATGGGAAAGTTATAAGTTCCCGGCAAGTTTAAGTGGCCAGGAAGTCATTTCGCCTTTTTTAAATGAGCAGAAAACACTAGTTATATCATGCCTTTCCTCAATATTCCTCCTATATTATTGGAGGTCTTGAATGTAAATATCTCTCGATGTGTCAATTTTAAGTGCTTTTCAAGACTCTATTTGTAGCTTGCTCCAAATAGAGAGCCAATTTCATATTGTTGGAAATTGGAATAAACCTTTAGAGGTCCTCTAATTTGGTAAAAATGAAAGAACGAACTTATTTGTCTTTACATTACTGATTACAATTCATTTATCAGGTTACTTCAGCAGTCTATCTTCTTTTAGAGCTTCTTCGTTCAGATAATGATGAGGTGCTAACAAATGTATGTTGTGCACTTTCTTACTGTATTGATGGTATATATCGCATTATCCAAAACCACGATAACTTCAGTCTAATTTATGACCGGCTGGTTGGACTCCTCCGGTGAGTAGAATGTTTTAGTTTCCTCATTTAACCTACTTTTTTCATATCTAACTTATGGTTGAATCTGATATGTACGTCATTGATGTTTCAGGCATGAGTCTTGTTCAGTGATAATCCCCGTCCTCAAAATAGTTGTAGGTATTGTTGAAAGAGAGGCGAGCTGGTATTGTAAGGTACATGAGTCTTAAGGAGCTTTTAGAAGCTTTCGTGCTTGAATCCAAACACTTTGATGAATTAACCAATGAAAATAGGAATGAAATAAAACAAAACAAAATAAAATGATTGAAAGGTGGAAACATCATAATCAGTATGCATTCAGATGATAATTCGGCATGTTCCTGAATCAACTTCCAATTTGATGTTTTCCTTTTTAGTTCATTTCTTGACTCTACAACACTGGGAGGGGGGGTTTATGTTCGCTAGTGGATTTAGTCTGGGTTCTCTATTAGCATGCTACAAAGCTATCATTTTTATTTCCTACACAGCTACTATTAGTTTTTTTTTTCAAGTTATTGTACTAGTAGTCAGCAACCTATGTAAATCTACCGTTATCGACAGTGGTTGTCTTAGTGTTGACTTTTCTGTGCAAAAAAACATATAATGATCAAAATGGCTATCGAATCTTGTGCTTAGGATCGACACACCCCTACCGCTTCTCCCACCTTTCCAGCTTCATGAAACTTACTCCCATCCACCTATGCCCTTCATGTGGAAAGAAATCCTAGTACCTCACAGTAGTGGAGACACTCCTGTTACATCTACCACCCCCAAGCTTCTAATGCCTAATTTCTAATAGTCTCTGTATTCATTAAAGCTGTCCACCAAACAAGATTTTAAACAACATGAATGGGTGTAACATGCTATGTGCCAAAATTGTTGGATGGGTGCATTATGCAAAGACCGCTGGAATATTTTTCTTCCTTTTTTTTTTTATTGTTAAAATGTAACTGTGTCAGGCATGCATATTGCTTTGTTTTTGACTAACGATAACTAACTTCACCACCCAGTTCAATCCTGCTGACCTTGGTTGCCTGGTGACGTTGCTTGATAACCACAACGAGGACGGAGACGTGGTCAACGACATTTGCAGCATTATCTGTGGCGTTGTCAGTTGTGGGAATATGGAGGTATGTCTTCAATATTTAGAAGGACAGCTAAAATATTAAGCTCCTGTGTACATTATCCTCATGCCTTCTGAGATCTTAACAGATTTTGCTCTTGGGGTAGTTGAGTAGGTGAATATGAGATTGAAATAGTTGGTTGTAGTATTTGGAATAGAAATGCCCCCCAAATTTTCTCTTTTCTTTTTCTTTTAGTGAAACTTCTCATTGGATGAAACCATAGCCATTTATCTGAATAGTTTGTAATTGTGAGCCGGATGTGATTGCGGCTGGATTTATGAATAAACTGGTCAATTTGATTCAAACTGATCGAGTAAAAGAAATCAATGATGCTGCTGTCGAAACAATTAATATTGCTATTGCCAGTGGGAATGATGCTCAGATCAAGTATGTAACCTCTTTTTCGGGGTGATGATTTCTCTGACCTCGCTGATATTTTTACTAAATTTCTCTGTATCCTTGTGCTTTTGGCTTTAGGTACTTGGTGGATATCTCCTGCATAGAGGTTCTGTGTGATTTTATTGCTTCGTGCTCTAGTGAAACATTTATGAAGGACAGTTTTGAAAGTTTAGAGAAAATCTTGGAGTTTGGGGCTCAGTCTATTGACTATGCTCGCCGGATTGAAAAGAAGATTAAAAGCATTCACACTTGCAGTTGGAGTTGGCCTAGGCAAGTACCGTTCTATTTTGGTGAGTTTTTGCAGAAATTGGACAAGTATCTGGGAAGGAGTAAGCGGATGGATCTCAAGGATATGTTTTGAGTCTTATTTACATTTTGTTATCCAAGTAAATTTAAGTACCATGTAGAATTATAGATTTAAATTAAAGTATCCTGAAATTCTACGCACAATTCAGTGTGTAATTCAGTTAACTATCTAAGTTTGCTATTGAGAATATGACAAATCCAGTCCAAGAATCTAATATATTTGCTGCAATGCATCATTAATGTCCCCACCCCACTTCTGGGGCATGAGAATCTTGAGAGAAGTTTCACATAATGTTTCCTGCAATATTAAATTTTGAATGTGATGTGTTTTCTCGGATGCAAGTGCGCAACGGTGCATGCTTGTTTGCTTTGCAATATATTTTGTTCTCTACTTTGGAGTTCTGGTTTATTGACTTTTACAACTCTGTCTTACTTATTGAGTTGCATTAGAACTTAGTTATGTGATACTTCTCTGAAAGGAAATGTATAAAAGGCATTTTCCTTTTAATAAATGATGATGCGCAGTCTTATTTGCACGCTCATCGACTATTTCATTAGGCTACCCACTTGTCTTAGATAGATGAGAAGAAATCATCTAACGTTTTTTAACCGCACTAAGATTTGAACCCTGATTTTTCATAACTATCATCAAACTACCTCTCACTATTCGCATGTATAGGTAACTCCTATCCACTTTGGTTTATAACCTGATTGGCTTTTACTTGCTTGTATTTGGACCGTGACTTTTCATAACTTTCAATTCATTTCATTGACTGCTAGGTCACCTTACTAATGCTTAGAGCGCATAGTTGCCTGACAATTGAGCAATATTACGTTCTACTCGCTTCATCATGTTTTCTGGTTACACCAACACCTTATGACAGCACGCAGTTATTGTTTTGTTACTTGTTGCTCTATTTGGAAACACATCGTCATTGGGAACCAGCTCTTGATTTGTGATTCTCATTGTTAATGTAGATAAATGTTGTGTACATTAAAAGAGAGGCTATTCTTCTTTCTGACTTACTAGACAGTTTGATATAAAAGAATGATTCAGTGTCAGTGAGAATGATTTTCTGACCACTTGAATCGATGATTGGAGCATTACTCCATTTATTTTTATGTCGTCTGTGAAGTCCACACTGTCCACCCTTCATGCCTCTGCTATTGAATCGTTGACAAATGTTGAGTTATCATATGTACGACACAGACATGATTTATCCATTCGGCAAAATTTGTAAAATTCAACAAGATAGGTGAACGAAGACAGTACCAAGTTTTGCGGCAAAACTTGTGAGAAATTGAAACAAGCGTGATTTGTCCATTCAACAAAACTTGTGAACAACTTAACAAGAACAAATGTTCTACTTCACTGCAATTGCAACTTATAAGTTCATAAGTCATCGGTTGAGAGAGCTGCCCTAGCAATCTGAGAACTGATACTACTTACCTTCTGAGTTACTAAGCATAGCCATGAAATTCAGACTCAATTAGCATTGGCCTTTTAAAACGTGAAGAAAATAAGCCTGCACCATAGTTATCACCTGTGATGGCTTGAGAGGCCAGTAAAGACTCGATAGTACAGATCATAACATACTATTCTAACATAGAAGAGTAGGCTTTGAAGGGCAAAGTAGCTTACTAGTAAAAGCATTTAAGGAATTCTTTTGAGATGTGTCACAAATAGACATCAAATAGAACACTCAAATGCTAAAAGGTAAAACTGACATCAAAACATTGAAAGTAAGGGATGCCACAAAATTTAACAAAAACTTCAAGAAGTGTGACCCTCCTCGGCAGCACCTTCAAAAGTTTCACCAGCCATGAGATCTGGTACTTCATCATCATCGTCTTCTTGTGCTGCGGCCACACCTGCAGCCTCACCTGTACCTGCAGCAGCACCCTGCTTCTGGAATTGCTCAGCCAACTTCTTCAAATTCTCCAAATTATCAGGACCTGAAAATTTTGTAAAATTGGAACAATCAATATATATTTAGTTGTTCAAAAACAGTGGTCATATCTAAACTGCAGTCAAAATAATGACTACATACCCAATTGGTGAATAATTTGAGGAAGGATATCCTGCAATTCTGCAAGAAGAAAGAAATATAGCTTAGAAATTGTCATGCATCAAACAAGAAACAAGAATGAGCGCCTTATCACCAATTCCGAGAGTTCTAATACTAATATGTGCTCAAAACATCAAGCAAAAGGAGGTAAACAGTAAGGAAGCGCATATCCTCAAACAATCAAGAACCCTTCTGAAAACCAACAGAAGAAAATGCTATTTTTTCTTTTGGACATAGTTTATAGAGGTAAGCTGTGGTTTTATTCACAATGTAGCAGCTACCAAGTAAAACCAAGGCATAAGGAAAAAGTAGAACACGTACTCTTTGTCTGGGGAGAACCACTAACGACCCATGTGTTTGCAGCAATAGATGCTTGAACTGAAAAGAATTCAGAAAAAAAAGGTTATTAAAATGGCAAATGGCAAATGACAAATGACTAAGCTAAGTGAAAATACAAATATATTTGATACCTTTGGGGTTAATGAATTGGATGACAACATCCTCCTTGAAAATGTTGACTTCTTCAATAGCAGGAATGGCATTGACACCTATTCTTTTCAAGCTACTAAGAATCCCCTGTCCAAAAACAGTAGCTTGAAACAACAACTTGCATAATGATACCTGCAAAAAACTAGGATCGGGAGTAATGTTCAAAGCCTAAACTGAGATAGCCATAAACCCACAATTGAGTGATAGAATTGCTAGTGATTGAAATCCATACGGATTTGACACTTGACTCAGGAAGAAAACAAGCAGAACCACTAGCCTTTAAATGTTGTTTAGCATGATTAATTATTGTTCGGATTAATTAATTAGCAAACCGCTTCACAACTTCAAAGCTTGGCGGGAGAGAAAAAGATTCAGAAAAACAAAAGTAGAAAACAAAAAGTGATACCTCGTCAAGCAGATTTGGAACCATGTTTGCCGTGCACTTTCACAAAAATCTATCTTTTCCTTGATCAGTCAATCTAAGTTAGCTTGAGCTCAAAGATAAATTCAACCTCAAAAGTGAATGTACTTTTATCTGCTGTGACTTCTGCTTTCTTTCCCAGTGCTTCAATCTCTGTGCAAAACCCATATGCAGGATCCTTTTAGGTGATTCTGATGAGCAAAGATTTCATCACCAAGCAAGGCTCATCGAAAAAATTTAGCAAATATAAACTGCTGCAGTTATCAGCTCTACTAGATAAAACTGTGGGCTGGAACCTTGTGTATTCCAGCATCTAACATTGCTTTTCTCAAGGCAGCAGCATGATCCCACTTCTCTGCCCCAGCATAAATGCTTGAGAGTTGCACATATCGCCCAGAATGATTCGGTTGCGACTTAAGCAATAGTTGTGCTACTTCATTTCCCAGCTCAATGGCTCCATGAAGTCTACAAGCACCCATCAGCGCACCCAAGACAGTGGCATCAGCTTCAAAAGGCATCTTTTTTATAAAGTCGTATGCTTCCTGCAGTAGCCCAGCTCTCCCTAAGAGATCAACCACACAACCATAATGTTCCATCTTAGGTACAATTCCAAATTCATGCGACATTGTTTCAAACAATTTAAACCCCAAATCAACAAGCTTGGCACGCGCACAAGCTGATAGAACTGCCACGAATGTAATCGCATTTGGTTGCAGCCCCCTTGCTCTCATCTTCTCATACATCATTAATGCCTGCTTCTCTCTACCATTCAAAGCTAGGGAAGAAATCATAGCATTCCAAGCACAAACCTGCTTGATAACCATTGCATCGAACACCTTTGAAGCATATACGAAACAACCCATCTTCCCATAAAATGCAATCAACGCGGTCGTCATGAAGACACTCAACTCCTCATTCTTTACCATGTAAGCATGTACTTGCCTCCCTAAATATAACGCTACACCAACATCCAAGAACGTGCAAGAAGAAAGAACACTAACAAAAGTAGCCTCATTTGGCTTCAATAAACCACACTTCACATCCTCATGAAGGATCATTCTCCGGAAAAACTTAACAGCAACTTCAGAGCACCCATTCTTCATGTACCCATGAATCATACTAGTCCATGAATAAACATCTCTGTAAGGCATGCGAGAAAACATCAAAAAACCCAAACTCATATCCCCATTTTTCCCACAAGCATCAAGGATCGCATTATACGAAACAACACATGGTTCAGGAATTTCATCAAACATCTTGTGCGCACTCCCGAGTTCACACGCCTGAGAATACAGCCCAATAAAAGATGTACACACGTACGGGTCACTCAACACCCCTCTTCTCAAGACTTGACAGTGAAGGGGTTTGCCTATATGGGAAGCCAAATGGGGCGGGAAAGATGAGGCTGCTTTGATAAGGGAAGGGAAAGTATGGCTATTTGGTTGAGCTTGATGAAAAAGCATGTGTGTGAAAAGGATGAGAGTTGTTTGAGGCTGGGAAATGTTGAGGTAAGCTCTGATGAGAGTGTTGTAAAGAAGTGTGTTGATCCATTGAGAGGTAAGGAGGAGACGGCCACTGGTTGTGAGAAGGGAATGGATTTGTTTGATTTGGTTTGAGTGTTTGATGAAATGCTGCAGAAGTTGGAGCATATGTTCTGGTTTTTTAGGCTTTGGCATTCCAACTGATTCTAAACATGTCACAACCTAAGCTAACGGGGAAGTAATAAGCAGTCAGACACATTTTTCGATACTTATATTTTTAAATTTGTTTTGAAAAATTTGATTCGGGCGAAGCATGGTTTTAACATGAAAATGTTTGGACATAAGTTTTTAAAATATATTTTAATTTTTTTAAAAAAAAATATAAAACATGACTTATACTCCTAAGTTTTAAAAACTATCACAAATACCCAATAGTACATTGATCAATAACATTCATTATATTATCGCAAACCATAATCCTGAATATAAATAAATTTGGTACAAAATTATCATTTTTATAATGAACTACATAATATACTATATCAGATGACCAAAAAAACAAAACAACATTGTTACAAAATAATAAATGGTAGGCTCTTTTATAAAATACAAAAGTTTGGAGCAATTTTAAAAAAATGTAAATAGTGATATTTTAGGCCAGAACCAGTTCTTGAGTTGGTTTTGGATTTGAATTTTGGGTTTTGGGAATTTGCCAAAATGTAGATAAAATCTATGGCCAAGCATGTATTTGCCAAAAAAAATTCAAATATATTTTGGCAAAATTTATGACCAAACGTTTAACAGCCCAGCCCGCTAGTGATATTGTCCGCTCTGGGCCTAGGCCCTCACGGGTTTAAAATGCTTCACTAGAGTCTAAGGCTTGTTAACTTATATACACAACATTCCTCTTGTGTTTGCCGATGTGAGACTCTGTTTATAGTCTGGGATGTTACATACACCCCTCTATGGACTCAGCGTCCACGCTAAGGTTTCTAGTGTTCGGCTTCTAGTCCTTCCTAACTAAACTCCATTGGAAAAAATTCAACAGATTTCTCTTTATTGTCATTTAAATGGTTCCAATAGATAAAATGACAAAAATGCTCTTATGGGGTGGGTTTAAAGTAGTCATTCTTAAATATACCCGAAGCAATTTTGATTTTTTAAGTATGCCAAATATTAGTATCTTTTATCTTTGTCAAATATTTAACAAACTGAAACTCACGTTTGGTGGTGTAATTTTTCTTACTTTTAGTCTATTTCTAGTGTTGGTGCAATTTTTTAGGTCCAATTTCTACGGAGTACAATTTTTGGTCTATTGATGATCTATGATGCAGTTTTTAGTGCTGCAATTTCTAAGATTGACAGGACTTGAATTTCCTAGTATTTCTAGTTAAAATCGTAAAATCTAATAATCAGAGTTTATCAAATAATTGACGGAAACCAAAAGTGCTCACTTTTGGCAAACTCAAAAGGACCAAAATTGCTCTAAAGTATATTTAATGGATTATTTTAGACCTAACCCAAAGTATAAGGCGTCATTTTTGTCATTTTCTCTATCAAAGTGACAACTTTGAAAAAACCGTAAGTATCCTTGTTGCCTGAAGCACAAGTCTTCGAATGATTCTATTGCCTGGAGCACACGTACTCAAGGGATTTTAAAATATCTAAACCCTATAGTTCAAAAATATTGTCATTGTTATAATAAAATTTTGTTGGTTAAGCAAATTATAGGACATTTATAACTATCGCATAAATATCGATTCTAGATCTATTATCTGTTTATATGTGGAGCCAGTACGAGGCAAACTGAAATGTATTTGGTTGATATTTATATACAGGTGTTCTATATATATATATGCTAAGTAGAAACCTACAATATAATATGAAGCAATGTTGTGTCTCAGTTGAAGGAAGGAATCTGTAAAAGGGACATGACGAAATTAAAATTCAATGACAAAGTTGTTGATCTACTCACCGAGTACTTCATATTTCAAGTTTGTAAAATTGGTGTGCATATTTGGAATGTGAAGACCTAGAGACATAAATTTATGTTTTCATCCGGAGAATAAATTAACATGAACTCTTTTTTCCTTATTTTGTTTCGTTGAATTTTTTCAGTGAGATTTTTATCGGGGATGCTAACAATGTGTATTGCAAAGAATTATGTTGTTATGGTCAATTACAAAGTATGAGACTCGAATCCCACACCGATATTGCAATAATGTTAATATGGACTTTATATAGTCTTGGGCTCTCCTGCCTCAATAGCTAGCTTTTGAGGTGTGTTCTCCCTGAATTATTAGGTATCAAAACCACCCACCACCCTCCATGTGCACCATGCCATAGAGGGTGACACCAGTATTACAGTGTTCGCCAGGGCAGAAATATCTAGCCCACAACCAGCTGCGAGTGCCTCGGCACCTGACTCGAAAATGGCTATTGGAGTGAAGCCTCGAGGACACTTGGATGCGAAGCATGGTGGTTTTTATGGTGTTGGGAGTTGCGAAGACGATGATGCAGAGCATGTATTGAGGTTTGTTATGGTCAATCGTAAGGTGTGGGACTTGAGACCCGCATCGGTATCGTAATATGCTGATGTGGGATTTATATAATCTTGGACTCTCACACCTCAATAATTAGCTTTTGAGGTGTGGTTCTCTCTGGGTTGTATATGTATTATTCTTTCCTTGACCAGAGTTACGAATTTTTTCTAGTAAAATTTTAATTAGGTATATTCTTTATATAATGGAAGGGTGTATATTATGAAATATTGTACCAAATGGATGTTTGTTCCTTATTTATGTGACGATAATTTTTTTTTCTAATTTAAGAGATATTTTATTTCTCCTGAAATAATATACAAGGTGGCTTAGAGCTCTATGTATTGGAGAGAAACTTCTCGAGTAAGCTTCCTCCAAAGTTTCTCGGTAGGCTTCCTTAATCATTTAAGTAAATAGCTCTAAGTTAGCAAGCTATTGCAGCAAAAAAAAAACTGCAGTGGAAGAAATCCTTTTCTTGTTTGGGTAAGAAGGAGCAGAAGCAGGAGAATGAGGAGGATAAGAAGATCTGGTAGACAATGTATATATTCAAAACTTTTGAGAATGGGGACAAAAGTAACACTAATTCTTTATACTGTGGAAAATTCTTGTACAACTCTCTATTGAGAGGCACAAAACGAGTTCAAACCTCTAATAAGAAGGTAAGACTTGCACCAAATAGGTGTTGTGGTCAAACACACACGCAAGTATATACAGTCGTTAAGTAATAAAGTGACTAGAAGTCGGATGTCGGACTTACACGGATTTGTTATCAACTATTAACTAAATTAGACTATCATAATTATCTAAACAAGATTTAAATCAAAAAGTAGTAATTCTAGACTAATTATAATAAGGGAAAACAAATGGTGAACTCTGAACAAAAGAAAAGTAAATTTAAATATTATCAATTAGGTGAAAACGATCTAGGGTCATGGAGTATCTAACAATCCTATTGTATTTTTTAATGGAATTGAATAATTAATTTTTCTCTTCTTTTTGTTGACGGGTTTAATATTGCTCATAAGAATCTGTCGAGTTCTTACTCGCCTATTCAAGCTAATCTAGCGCATACATGTCTATAGAGTTAGAATCAACAAGAATGTGTTCATAATTCCCGTATAATAACCAAGAAAGGAAATTAGCATATGTCTATCCTAATCGCTAATCAATTCCCCGATGCCCAGGTTTAAGAACTTGTTCTACTCAATCCAATATGTGTCACACCTCCTTTTTGCCCGCCCCGCCCCGAAGGGTTATGCGTGAGAGAGTTTTTCCAATTTAAGTGACAATATTCGAAATGAGATTATTTATTTAATTC